CATTGGCCCTGCTTCATTTATTTTTGAGGGACTTTTTTGCTAACACATGATAAACAACTTAATATTTTTAAAATACAGGGAAAACCTGCTGACTGAGACCTTGGTCCCAGTGTAACAGACACAGGCACCTTGAATATTATCCAATAGCTGCATCTCTTATTCTGAACTACAGGATGAAAACTAAAATAACCTCAAGATAGGAACCAGATTCTATTTTAACTCTGATATGTACTTGTACTTGGAGCTTTTACTCTTGGAGACTGACAGCACACTCTCGGTGATCTGTATATCTATTACATGTCCCATAAAGTGTTTGCCTGGGTTTAGAAACCCTACCTACTATTTATTTGATGTACAATATACATACTCATCACTTCTTGAATGCACATTAGTTTAAGATTAAAAGAACTCACTGCTGTTAGCCACCTGTCTACCAGAGGTTTGGTATAAACACTCTAATATGCTAGCGGGAAAATATTAACTATGTCTTGCTCTGTAAGAAGAAAGGAGACATGAGTCATCCTAGGAAATCATATAAAACAGGGTAATGTTTTCAGATTAGAATGCCTGACTGAAAGTGACAGTGGGCTAACTGCAAGATGTGATCATTTGTGTGGGGTGTATACAGATATGCATTCATGTATGTCTCTGTGTGTAGAAGTCAGAGCCTGACCTGTTTGCTATTCTTCAGGAGTCCCCCTGCTTGTTTGTTGAGATAAGATCTTCCACCAAGTCCTGGATTGGTTGGCTGGCCAGTGAGCTCCAGGGATACTTTTGTCACCATTTCCTCCAGTGTTTTTCTATAGATGTGACATAGAACCTGTCTTTCTATGTTCTTGGGGTCAAACTCAGCCCCTTATACCTGAAAGACAAGCATTTTACAGTCTGAGCCATCTGTTTAGTTCCATGATGTGATTTTGAGATGGTAGTTGGCTCCCTACTAAGCCTCAATGGTCCCATTTGCTGACTGGTGACAGTAAGACCCTGGTTGACCTAAGGTTCCCTGGGAGGATGACAACTGATGACCTCAGCTTTGTGTCTTTGAGTCCATGTCCACAGTTACTTTCCTGATTTTGGGGACTTGTCTTCTTAAATTTCTGAATTTTTATAAATAAATACATTTGAGATACTTTTGTAGATATTAGAGTTTCCCAAGCAAGTAAAATCATTCTTACCCTATAAGTTTGGAGAGTTAAAATATTATGTTAGAATTTTCTGCTTAAAGTTACTCTGATAGATAGATTCTTCCCCTAAGTAGTCCATATTAAATTCCAAATGTAATCCTACTGTAAAAATAGGGCTCCAACATCAGCCATCCTCCTTGGGGGCTCTTGTCATCTTGACAGATTTGATAGGCAGACAAATTTAATTTATTAAAATATTCTGTCTAGCATTTTTAAAAGACAAGGGGTTTCTAGACCGCAAATGGACTGTTTTCACAGGCTTATTAAAATAAATGCATAAAGTCAGCTGTTTTTCATTGGAATTCGTTAACAAAAGATTCAATAGAGAAGGAACTACAATCCAGTCCTTGGCACACTTGTAACTGAAATTTGTGGGGAAGTTTTCCACCTTTGCATAGATTTTGGAATTTTCCTTTAAAAAAAAAAACAAATAGCAATTGCGTATAAGAGGCACATTTTTGCTTGTAAAGTGTTCTGCATTTCATGGAGACATTTGCTATAATTAGTAGAGGCATTTAGGAAGCCAAGGCTTCCTGCCAAAGGCCACTTTCAAAAATATGAGACAGCTTAGCTTCTTTGGACAATATACTTATATTTGATTTATCTCCAAGTTATTTTTTATGTAACAATTTAAAAAATCACAACTCAGAGATTTCTTTTTTCTTTAAGCAGAGACCATTTTGAATTGATCATAATGTTCTTCATAATCAAATGATTGTATAGACTTAACAATTATAACTTCTTAGAGTGACTAGTTCTAGCTCATCAACTGTCCTTCCTTAAGCAGTGATTTTGTTTTGATTCTTGAATCTTGGTCCTAGAAGACTGTGTCATGCATCTGACTAGTTCACAGTGCCTGACATATCCTGTGGCTGTCCTGTCACATCTCCTTAAATGAGATTATCCCTTCACAGTTCATAACTGCTTTTGGCTCAGCCAACACCAGGAAGCCTCAATATTTGCACATCTTTCCATTACAGAATTCATCCCAACCTTGTGAACTAATTTGTAATAAACAAGCCAATCTACCTATCAATCAAAGATTCTGTCTACAGTGCATGGTAAACTGATTGGTAAATTATGTGCTTAATAGCAACGCTAATTGTGATAGTTCAACAGCAAAAGAGCTTTGCTACTGCACGTTCAAATCTTCCTTCTAAGCTATTTTAGGATCAAGCTTAACTTACAAATAGACTCTTTGTAATAGCAGATGATGGACTATTACATTTAACTAACAGGAACAAAATACTTCTATTCTCCAAACCATTAAAAATCCATCAAAAAGGTATAGTTATTTCAAAAACATCATTCAATTTTCCCATGCCCTTCCATGCCTTTAATGTGTACATTCTTATGCCCTCTTCTTAGATGCTATAGAATTAAAAATAACTGTACCTTGAGAATTATCTATGCTGTAGGCTGTAGTGGATTAGGGTTAATGATGCTCCTGCCCCCATAACCAGATCTCCTTCCAATTAATCCATTAATATCAGAGTCCAATTAGTGCCAGCCATATGCACATAGATATGGAATCATCTAATGGGCCATGAGGAATCTACCGAAGCCCACACTCTTAAAGAAAAGTGGCCACTAGCAGTCATCAACCACTGCCAACAGCAGCCTCATTTATAATCCTCACCACATCTAAGCTGGAATGCTTAACCCACTTGACCTTGCACAGATCCTGGGTAGGTAACTACCGTTGCTGTGAGTTCATGTGTGTGACAGATGTGCCATATCTAACGCACAGCCTTTCTCAGCACCCCTCCCTGTATTCTAGCTTTCATTTTCTGGCTTTCCATGATGTTTTTCAAGCCTTGAGGAGAGAAGGATTTATAGAACTGTCTCATTGATGGTTGAGCACAAACATGTTGCTTATTTTTATCACTTTGAATAGTAACCACTGCCTATTGCTTGGGAGCAGCCAAAATGACTACGAAGAGAAACAAATATTTAGAAGGAACTTTGACAATGTCTTGCTGTTATTTGTATTAAATAATAATAATAGCTTCTCCCCTAGGGTCTATGATTTTCCTAGCTATGACTTTTAACTATGTTTACAGTACCAGGAATGAATTCCCTCCTGTGGATCGGGCCAGGCCATTGCCATTGCTTTTGGTTGCCCACAATAACTAGATGGTAAGATCCTACTGTTAAAGACAGCACACACTTTGGTTTCAGGATACAGAGAAGTCAGTCTTAAACTGACCAAGAAACTTCCCCTACTGGCTAGCTTTATTGGTGCTAGAAGGTACTCTTCTGGATCATAAGGGAAGAAATGACATTACTGGCCTTATCCATTGCTGGACTCTGCGCCCTACACTGATGACCTGCCAGGTTAAGTTGTGCCTACTGGTATAATAATGGCAGGACTGTTTATGGGATAACTAGTTGCTCTCTTGGTTGGATTTGAGGCCTGCTTTACAGTTTTGGCTGTTGAAATTTGGCTATACTTTGTAATAATATGGCTGAAAACAAGGGTTTGGGATCATATAACCTGGAAGGAAGAAAGAGGATCAGAAGTTCAAGGTCATCTTTGCTTACATGGTAAGCCTGGGCTGCATGAGACCCCATCTCAAAATCAATAGCTAAATGAAGAACTTGATGCATAAATATGGCATTTACTGTTGTTACAATAGGCTTGTTACTTTGGCATAGACTTCATGGAGCTGTGTCTTAGCAGCACTGGTTGAGCATCAAGTGTGGACAAGATAATAGCTACTACTAAACCAAAGGTCCCTGGTTCCAGATCAAAGCTATTTCAAAGGGCAAAGTGTGTTACTATTAACTTAAACTGTCTTTGATGGAACTTGGGGCCTGAAAAGTGGAATAGTATATGTCTGAAATACATGTTCAAGGTTTGGATAAACTGTTTTGGACACATGGGAGGATTCCATGTTGCCATTGCGATGGAATGATGGGAAGAAGAGATTCACAGTACAATTTCATGGGGAACCAGGCTCTTACCAAGACTCTAGGCAGAGGTGACTTTGAAATAGGGCCAGGAAGGGGAAAAGGATTTTCTCCGGAAATGAACCAGATCATAGAACAAACTTTTAGAGTCAGGTACAATCTACAGCTCCCAGCAGTTATAGGTCAGGGGTGACACTTCAGAGGTCATTGGTATTAAAAGGGCTGTAGTGAGACTAAATGGGACCATCTAGAATGTAATTTTCATGCTACCTAGGAGCCATTTTTCCCCCATTAAGTTATGGAAAGTCCTTAAAGAGTCTATGGAGTAACAGGGGCAGAAGAGCTTTGGTTTTGATGACTTTTTTTTTGGTCTATAGAGAATGTTCTCTTTGTCAATCCTGTCTCATAAGATCATGCCCAGATGAAGCAGAGGCATACATGAATGCAGAGCTCTGAGATGAGAATGGTGGAAGATGCTTAATGAAAAATCTTCTCTGTCTGCTTTGGAAATTGATCTTTGGGCAAACACTATGTTTCACCAGTATCCCTAATTCTTTAGATTTCAAAATTCAAGTTAGTACTTGTATTCATTCCAAAATACGCCATTCTTGAGTTTTGACATTCCCTCCCCCACCTTGCACACAACAGGATATATAACTTAAAATACCAAGGACCAAGGTGAAATGGCTTTCCTTAGGTACTGACTACCATAACCTGACCCAAACCATATTAAATTCTATTAAATGCCTAGAGGTTCTAAGAGAATAATAACTTCCTGGAAAACTCCAGGGCACTCTTCCTAAGAATTCTGGGGGAAAATATTAAATATAGAAGCATATATATTTCATAAGACATTAATTTAGCTACATTTTTAGTGCTCAACTTCATTTCAAATTATTCTAGCTGCTCAACCAGCCTGGAGGTCCAAATGACATCAATCAAAGGAGGTTGATTTTCTTCACACTCTTCCATCATCATGGGAATGTCAAGCAAGCAGACTTTGCCTTTTTCATGCATGATGTAAGTATAGTTGCTTAGGGGTAAGATTGGGAGAGATTTACCTTTGCAAGAAGCAAAGAGGACTTGATTTTTCGGTAGGCTTTTCTATACTGACTGAACATCTTGGGGAAGTCTTGGACCCAGTAAATCACATTTAAAACTCCTTGTCTCATGTCTATGTCTTGAAATCCAATCCTTTGTCACCTATAAATTTTGCAGCTAAGTTGTGTCGCCTAGGCAGATGTTAAATTACCAAGAGGGGAAGAATCTGTATTTCCATAGTCATGAAAATCATAAAGGTCATTCCTGAAGAAATATATATACCATTGTGCTAAAGACAGAGAAAACTTTTATTACTATATATAACTAAATTTGTAATATAGTGCAATATGAAAAAGCTTTTATCATTTGAGCTAGTTTCCTAAATAGAAGCTGGTTTCTTGCTGAGTGATGCGTAGAGAGAGTCATATATAAGTTCATGTTCAGTTTTTAGCTGTTTTTACTCTGGAAAGCCATCTCTGCCCTTCTCAGGTTTTCACATCCATTCAATTAGACTAGATAGTGCCTGGCTTTCCAACTACACAAAATGAGCAAGTTATACAATCTCCTTGTCCCCCACAGACCAAACAGATGTGAGAGGAAAGACTCTACTGACATTTATCACAGAGAAAAGAGTGTGTGGGGGTGTTTTAAGCAAAGTACAATGGAAATTTTCAGAAGAAAATGACCAAAATCACTCAATGGGTTTGGGTGGATCTTGGTCATGAGAAGTGGGTAAATATGGGTTTGTTGTTCTAGAACTGAGACAGGAAAACTGGTAAAATGGACTCATGGAAGCCTGGATTAAAACTACATACATGTTCTACAAAACATATGTGGCTTGGATCTTACAGTTGTAGGACATGCATCTGGGAAGGGACAGGTTCACACTGTGTCAGATTGTGATTGTCCTACTAACATATGTGGTGATGAATCTTGTGAGCAGTGAAACTGTGTGTGGAGAGATCACCATGGCCATGGGTGTTCATACAGAGGAATTATGGAGTAGAGACAAGCAAGGAAGCCATAGGAACAACAAGGTAGCAGGTGGGGACCCAACTTGAGTAAACAACCAATGTAATTAAAGCAACTGGCATAGAGTATTTCTCCTTGTATCCAGAAAATGTTCACCAGAGCCAGAAAAATCAATGGTGTAGCCCATAAAACACAATCACATGGAAGGGGAGATGGAGATGCTTGAAATCCCTTTCCTAATCCTCTCTCACAGAGACATATCCAACTCCCTCAGTAATTGTATATCCTATAAACAAGTCTTTCTATGGCTCTGAAATCTCTGCTTGTTCCTGAATATGAACACAGTTTGGGCCCCAAATGACACATAAGGAATGTGAAAACCCTATAACTATGGGTAGGGAGTCTGTCCTTAGTTTGAAAACTCTAAGCCTCTGGGTCTACACTAAGTTGACTCCTAAGAGATGGTATACTTCCTCCTGCATATGGCTGTGAACTGTGTGATCATTTACAGTCTAGTTTCACTAAGCACAAATTCTAGTATGATCGTATCCTACATATGATATAATGTACATATCCCCTGACAGCTATTTTCCAACCTGGAATTCTAATCTAACTGACGAGCCTGCAGTTTTGTGAACAGTATCCTGCAATACTACCCTGAGCTGTGTTTCCTTTCTGCACGGAACCCCCAACCCCAGAGACATGTTACCATTGGGAAGCAAAGACAAAGTATGTACTGTTGGGAGTTGCAACCTGTTAAAATTATCCTCAGTGACTCTAACAGATTTGTATACTATTTAGGAGAATTTGAAATCACTTAGTGAAAAACTAGCATGCTGCAGAACTATTGGAGGGGAAACACTTGTTTATAATAACTTATTTGTTGATGTAACTATCAGTATACTTAAAATGCTCTCATGTTTTCCACAGGGACGTGTACAGAATATTAATTAATATCTGCTGGAAGCAATAAAAAGAAAGAGGAAGAGAAAGAGAAAGGGAGAAAACAAAAGAAAATACAGAAACCAAATATGATCTCACTGTTGTTGTTTGAACTGAGTTATTGTTTCGATTGACTTTCAAAGTGTAGCCCAGACTGGCTCAAGCTTACATCTTTGACTCAGCATCCAGAGCTTTGAATAATAAGTATGGTCTGGCTTACACTGACTTTTGAAGCATTTATTTTGAACTGGAAATTAAAGCATTGGCTCTATTTTTACCTAGGATTTCATAAGTACCTACTGTTCAGATAAAACTAAGTCTGGGACTTACATTCACATACAAAAATAATTGGATTATTTAAATGCCAGCAAGCATAGCAATTTTTCAGTGTCTACGAATGAGTAATGTTTAATAAAAAATAAAACAAAAACCCTGACCAATTGGCATCAAATCTAATTATCCCAGCGAGGTAAGTCTGTATTCCAGTCTTTGTCTAAAGATGACCATTTTTATTTCTTATGATTATAGCAAGAGCTACAATAACAGCCTTCCTCTGAAGGGATAATTTTGTGATTGTGTTCTAGAAAAGTCTGTCCTTGAGGTGAGAGAGATGGATGTGGGAGAAAAGAACTCAGAATTACTAGTTTGTTTTCATCTTTCTGACCAAAAGACAAGAGAACAGGTTTTATTTTTCTTGGATTCATAAGTTTTTCTAGAGGCAAACTGAATACTCCAGATATCCCTGAATACGAAGTCCTCAGGGCCGAGCCAAAACTGAATATCCCAGACACCCTTGAATACAAAGCCTCAGGCCCAAGTCTTCTGAGAAGGCATTCCATGTTCCATGAGCTCTCTGAGGATTCTTTGTCAATTTCATCTGTGAAAGCTTATGTCACCTTCATACCTAAGGCAAATGCTATGCTCTTTGAGTTTCTGAGTGCTCAAGAGTTACTGAAAACCATCCAATCCAGACACCGGCTGTACCTACTAGGCGCCAGATGCCATTATCCACCAGAGAAACTGGTGAAAACCTGCAGCTGGGGGCCTGCTCCCATGGGTGTTCTGTCACCCAAATCATGGATCTTAACTCGCTCTCATAACAAGGACATAAAATACCATTCCTACCCACAACTTATGCAAACACTCGAAAGTACTTACAGTGAGGCACCCATTGAGGTAACATACAGCTCAAAGGTAAAGTCTGAGTTATGCAACCAGAGTCCCTCATAAATTATTAAAAGGTTAGAAATTCGGGTCTTGGGTTTTGTCTTTTGTCTTCTATTAGAATGGAGAACAGTTATTCCCTGTTGTAAAGCTTATTAGCTCATTAAAGTTTATAACCGTCACAGTTCATCCCCATCCTTAGTTTCTTCAATGATCTCCCCATCTTTTCAGCTTTCCTGTGAATCTTGTTTTTGATTTGTTTTTCCTACTTCGAAAAGTGAAACTAAGTGGGTTATAGTGGTGCATGCCCACAATTGCAGCATTCGAGAAGTGTAAGCAAGAGGACCGTTTTGAGGTTGAAGCCTGATCTACACTGAAAGTTCCAGGCCAGCCAGAGTTACAGAGTGAGACCCTGTTATAAAAAACAAATCAAAATCACAAAATAATTAGCAGCGGGCTGTGGTGTGGGTGAGGATTGGGGAGAGTCTAAAAGCTAACTACACAAGTCACACATTTGTTTGTTTGTACTTGGTGTTACACACAGCTCTTTGCTGCTTAACTACCCATGAGCTATGCTAACCCTTAACCCCTAGACATTCTGCCTTTTGTTATTATAAATCTTAAGTCACTTTCCATTCTGGGTTTTAAAAAAAACTATGGGTTTGTGTGTGTCCTCCCACCTGATGTGTGTAGGGGGGCGGGTATGGCAAAATGCTCTTGGCAGAATTTTATATGTGGAAATGTGCATGGACATTGTTATGAACAGGTGTGTATATGTGTATTCTAATAGCTAAAACTTTTCAATAGCAATGAACTGACAGGGTCTTAGCTGACATATTCTCCTACTGAAATGTTCACATTTCCAGGAGCCTAGAAGTCCGTATTTTTCATTGGTAGGCTTTTGTGCATTCAGTAAATCATCTCTCAAAAGCAAATATTAACCAGTCTCTTCACTTGTTGTAAGAAAAGGCATAACGAGCCATGCATAAGTTCAAGTTCAAGCTCAGCACTAATGGCAAAAACAAAACAAAACAAAAGCATCAGGGAGCTTTGAGGACAGGCATGTGGAGGAGAGAAAACTAGGGGCCTTCTATTACTGTGTCATTTACTAATTTACTTCATTTTGACTTCACCCTACGTATTAGGTGACTTGGCCCTTTAATTCTTAGGGGTGCTGAAAGCAAAAGGGAAGCAATCATTAGGGGATGCTGGAAGAGCACCAGCATAAATAAACTGAGTCACAGGAAATTCATTGTTTTCTAAATATTAATAAAATACTTTCCTGAAAAATGCCATTATTCATGCAAAAGTGATGATCAAAGAGACATGATACTGAAGGGGGGAAAACATGAATTTAAAAAACTATGTAACATCAGTGAGCTTACAACTTGCTTCTGACAGTTGACCTGAACAAGGGGGAGCTCTTGGATTGATGGCTATGTAGAAAGCATAGGAGTGACCCAGACCCCCCTGAAGGTGGGTGTCAGGGAGGAGGCCTAGGTAATCTATGGAGCCTTGGGTAGTATTTATCCCTAGCGTACAAATAGACTTTGAGTGCCCATGCCACAATATGGATGCTCTCTCAGCCTGGGAGACTTGGGGGAGGGCCTAGGCCCTGTCCTGGATGGAATGGCAGTCACTGGAGATCCACCAAGGAGGGCCTCACCCTCCCTGGAGATCAGAGTGGAGATTGGGTGGGGGACTGAGGGACCTGGTGGGGAGGGCAGGGGAGGAGGGGAGGGGGAGGGAGCTGGGATTGACATGAGAAACAAGCTTGTTTCTAACTTAAATTTAAACAAAGAACAAAAAAACTTGCTTCTGTGCCTGGCAAACTTATATTTTCTAAATGCTGATTAACTCTTCTAATTCTTTTGCCAAAATGCAGACATAGAGATCACTTAAATATTGAAGAACATTTTATACCTACCAATTTAGCTCATTGATGCAGCTGATTTTTTTTTCTTTTTAATGTAGCATATACAACTTCTACAGGACTTCTTTTTGGGCGGAAAGAATACACTTTTAAGAGTAATGACATTCGTGGGCTTTAGTTTTTGTAAGTATGCCCAGCCCACCTTGTCCATCCATCCTTGTGTCTTAGGAATATCTGCATTTTAAATTTCTCTCCTTTTCCCAATATGGTTTGCTTTAGATATGTCCATTTAGCAGGGGAGAAAACAGAGGTGCCCACTGCCTTGGTGACAGTTGGGTAGAATACAGCTTCATCGCCTCCACAACCTGGGAGTTACCTCAGAAGTCCCTAGAGGACAACAAAAACTAAAGCTACTTTATTATCCTTTCAAAAATGTTAGGAGACTCATGGCTTAATTCCTTTAACTAATACAACCCAGAGAAAGGCTATTCACCCATAACAAAACAAGTGACATCTACAAAAGGATCTCCATCTTTTGTGGCTCTAGCAACGTCCTTCATAATGCTTTCAAACAGAAACCCCCTTTCAGGATGAAGCAATTAGACAATATCCTTTCTACTTTGTACTCTTGCTAGGTTTGTGGTAACAATGACCAAGAGATAGCAATCATTTCCATAGGAACACCAGAAACCTTAGAGCTCCTTTTCAAATTCTTTCTTCGATCAGTGTTTTAGTACTGAGAATTTGTGAAACTATTACCATCCACCAAGTCCTTGGTAAATCGATCTAATAATGAATGCTATTTCTTCCTGTCCCTCTCTTGTTTTCATTGCCACCAAGCTTCAGCAAGCACCAATCTTATGAAACAGTCCCCTCTTGGCGTGGCATATAGGTTTCATCAAAGGAATAATTCAGTTTGGGGTCTGATATAGACTGATGCATCTCTTTTACCCACTCAATGACAGGTGGAAGACACAATATCAAGAAGGAGTCCCATTGGAACAAGTGCTTAGGATGGTGTTTAATTCAGCAGGGAGCCAAGATACAGTAGTAGGACACGGAAAGGATGTGGCATGTGTAGACACAATAAAGAATTTCAGTTTATGGTCATCCATCCATCATTTGCCAAAAGACTAAGTTAGAGAAATAAGTGACTTTCAGTTCTCCATACATGCAAAGGTTAAGTTTAGTTGTTACGAAAGTTTTGCTGTTGTATGCGCTGAAAGAAAACCATAAACAGTTTTAAAAAATAAATCACTCCGTTGGCTTCAGAAAAATACTTTAGTTCATATTTCATTGATTTGACCTTTTGACTCAAGATCAGGGAATGAACCCAGCATGAAAACAAAATGAAACAAAATAAAACAACAAAAATGCCCACAAAACACAAACAAACCATTTACCATGGAAAAGGCATTTCCTGTCAGCTAAAGTCCACTAGTTTTTATTGCATTATTTTCAAATGTCAAGAAACTGGCTTTGGACATAGTATTTGCTGTTCAACTAATTCCGAGCTGTCAATATGCAATTGCTCACAACCATTATCTAAACACCATTATTTGACAAACTCCCTCAAGGGACTGTATAAAATTCTCAGGTGCATCTAGCTCACAGAATCAAGTAACAACCAGTTAGGCTGCGGCTGTATCCTTTGGAGAAAATCCACAAACTCTTGCCCAAAGGAAGGAGCTCCGCATAACCATGTTTTGAAACACACACATTCTGTCCTGGTTCTAAGGGTGTTTCCCTGTTCTCAGAAATAAAGGGCAGGACAGGCTACGGAAGCGGGTACTAAAGCCCACCAACTCTAGATTCCTCTGGGGATCAAGAGGTGAGGAGAGGAGAGATGCAAAGATGAAATGCTGATGATAGAGAACATGGAGGAAAGAACTCTCATGGAACTTGCTAGCAATTTTCACCAAGGCAGCAGACCCTTGAACTGACAAAAATTCAGTACAATATACACATTAATGAACAGCTCCATCATCACAGGGCTACTTCGTAAAACCAGGAAGAAAAAAAAAGTAAATAATTACAATATCCCCAAACAGAATTCTCATAAGAGTTGAGAAAAACCAGAGTGAAAGGCAATGTCAGCTAAACTCTTAGCTAAATTCCACTCCTAATGGCCCCCGGTAGTTAAGCTATCATGGATTAAAGCCATGAAAATAAAAATTTCAATTTGAAATTTCATTAGCATGTTGCTAAATATGATCAAGAGAAGCATCGACACTGTAGGCTTTGTTGATATCGTTGGAAAACGCTGTTGTGTTTTAAAAACAACCTCCACCTCCCCCCTGCCTTCTAAGATCTTCTGGTTAGGAAAAGCCAAACTAAAGACACTGGCTAGGCTCTCCAAAGGCTGGTTTCTGGAATGTTATAGATCCTCCCTGCCTTCTCCTCCAGTCCCTTGGAAAACAGGACTCTCTGAAACTCAGAGCAAGGAGAGAAACAATCAAGGGGTTCCGAGCAAAATGCCTCCTCCTTCCTACATTCAAGCGCCCACCTACCAGGTGAATTAGCTCCTTTTCTGGAGCGGGCAGGCCTTCCTTACTCTAAGAGGTGCTGTGCCATTTTCCTCCCAGGGACCCAGAAGGTTTTCCTTCTGCCAAGGGTAGGTCAGTCCCGGGATGGCGTCTGCTTCCAGCTGTGCAAATTAGGGAAGCCAAACCTATCTAGCTCAGCCCGGAGCCTGGAATGTATTGTCAGGAGACCCTGGGCTGGAGAGCTGCAAGACAGTTCCTGGCAGCCCCAGGGAAACCTGGAGTCCCCCAAAGCTCCCAAGTATACAGGACAGGCTCGCTTTCATGGGAATTCGGAGATCCGGAGACACATCCATTTGGGAGTTGAACTGTGCACTGAAAAGAACAGTTCTCGCCTCCGACTGGACTGTGTGCGCGCATCTGGGGGGTGGTGACGGTCCCCAGTGACTAGAGGGTATCTGCCCTGTCTGCTAAAGAGTCACTGACCATTGGCTCGCGGGAAAGGTCGTGTTCTTGCTCCCCTTTGTTCACTCCCGGTTTCCCCGTCACAACCCAGGAGAAAGGCGCGGACTGGGTGACCCGGGTACGGTCACCAACACCAGGGATGTCCTAGGGGCGCATAACTGCGCCCGCCCAGTGCCGGTGTGAGTTCCTGAAGTGAAGCTTCCAGGCGCTGACCCCGGGTGGGCGCGCTAGGGGACTTAGGGTGAAGAACTGCGGGGGCGGGAAAGGAGCGCCGGGCTTGAGAACAGGAGCGTGGGGGGGCTGCTGCTCTGGG